ACAAAAATTTTAATTTATTTAAAATATTTTTAAATAATTTTATTGGGCGCTCGTCCGACTCTGATCACAATCCAATCCATTGCGGATCAAGCACATGTGTGCATTTGTTGCCATCCTCATTCCCCAAACATTTGCTTTCTGCTTGAGCCCTTGGTATCAGCTCCTCATTTTCCCCTCCCTCCCTCCATCATGAACCCTCGATGATTTGTAAATTATTATTATTTCTCTGTTGTCTGTCGTGGTTTGCAGCCTCCTCCACTCCCTGTCAGGTGGCTTTCTAGGTGTGTCTGTGGATGCAGCTCAGGCTGGTGCATCTCTGCAGACAACAGCTGCAGGGGTCCCTCAGGGGGTGGGGTGCGGTGGGGGAGCACTTGGACGCTGGCATCCAGGTGGATCACAATGGTGGACAGATAACACCACCGCCCACTCCCAGGAGGACGGACAACAGATATGGGCGAGAAGGGAGACTGCTGTGGGTGTAAAACAGAATAAAAAAATCATAATTTACAGATTATTGAGGGAGGGGGGAAATGAGCTGATACCAAGGGCCCAGGTAGAAAGCAAATGTTTTGGGAATGAGGATGGCAACAAATGCACACTGGTGCCTGACACACGGATGGACTGTGAAACGAGTTGCACGAGCCCCCGATAAAAGGATTTTAAAAAGTAATCCTTGAAAGGAAGAGGATGTTTTGAGACGGACAGTGCTGACCATCGGAACCACTCTGCTGGACGGTGGAATGGGATGTGTCTGGGCCGTGGTTTGGGCTGAAAGAAAAAGAAAGAAAGAAAGAGGAAAAAAAAGAGGGACGTGGTTGGAAACCCACAGGGGCCGCCCTGCCCTGTCCTTCAGGGTCGCCGAGAGTTAGAATCAAGCCCACATGTGGTGGGCTGGATTTAAAAAAAAAAAATTCATTATTTTTTTGGGCACCAGTAAGATTCCCTCCCCTCAAAGCCGCCCAGAGTAAACTTACAGAGACAAAGGAGATTAAATTGCACCTTGGACATCGGGACCTTAACAGACTGTCCCTGCGATGGCTGGGGATCTGGGCCCAGACTTGGAGGCAACACGGAAGCTCCTGTAACGACGTTGCTCCTAGACGCGATGTGCATGTTTGCAAAGTCTCTCCGG